TGACTATGTTGTCCAATCTTTCTAAAAACATGGTACGTACACACAGTTAGTTGTTTTTAACGATCCTGATTTCAAGCTTATAGCTCATCATCAGGTTGAAGGAATTTACAACCACGTCTCTCGACATGAATTGTAAGAGATAAATGCATTAATAATATAGAATTTAATTTACCTCCTATTTCAAATATGTACCTAAATAATATTAGACGTACATGTTAATCTAATTAATTAACTTCATTAGATTTCATGTTCCGATTAGCCAAATAACATCTTTCGATTATTTAATCTTTATGTGAGGTAAACGGTTGATATAAAAAAGTTAGTGTCACGAGCGGGGTTCGAACCCACGACCTTCCGCTAAATACGCCGCTGCTCTACAACTTGAGCTATCGTGAGTTCGATCCACACAAAAGATTAATTAATTGAAAGATGTTATTTGGTCAATCGGACCACGAAATCTAATGAATTTAATAAGTTAAATGAAGTATATCAATTGGAGTGGATCGAAGTCACGATAGCTCAAGTGGTAGAGCAGCGGCGTATTTAGCCGAAGGTCGTGGGTTCGAATCCCGCTCGTGACGCTGACTTTTTTTATCTCAACCAATACCATACAAAAAGATTAATTAATTGACAGATCTAATTAATTTATTTATTTTTTATTGTTTAATTTTATCACTAATTTTCTAATCTATTATTAATATATTATTTTAATTTTTATTAACTAATAAATAAAACGTAGAAATAAATCACTAATTTGTAATTTTTCTTTTACAGTATTTATTAATATAATATGTGTTGTGTTATAATTTCCGCGTTCCGCACGTTCAAATTGAGCGCCATTAAAAAAATCAGCTTCTCATTGGAGCGTCGCGTTGGCTGGGGATCGGCGGGTTCACTTTTAAAATTCATGTCGAGAGACGTGGTTGTAAATTCCTTCAAACTGATGATGACCTATAAGCTTGAAATCTGAAACGATGAAAACAACTAATTGTGAGTAGGAACTATCTTTTGAAAAAGAAAGGTTAAGTTTGGTTAGGTAGGTGAATTTTTGTGGTTGTAATTTTCGATGATGGTTAGGGTTACAGATAGGATTATGGTTAGGTTAGGCAAGACTTAGGGTTAGGTTAGATTTGGTAGGTTTATGGCTAGTGTTAGTCTTGAAGTTTGAGTTAGGAATGTGTTAGTGTATGCACTGACCTGTCTCTCGGGCGGGTAGTCCGGTCGGGTGTGCCTGGCGGGTCTGATGGGTGAGCACGTAGGGTACGTTTTGCCCGGGCAGTTGGATTGATATGGACTTTTCCATAGCAAACTACGTGCGTAAATGGTTTTTACCCACATCCCTCACAAAAGGTCCGTAAATACAAGGAAGAATGATTCCGTTAAAAGCCGAGGTGCTGGTCCGCCCGGAGGATGGTGCTCCAACGTTGGCTCCTCTTTTCCTTCCCACATACATAACAAAACAATAGTTGGACACCCAGCTTAAATGACCCTTAGTGGTTAAAGGGGAAAAAGTGGTAAAACATCTGAACACTTGATCTTTGGTTTTGTGTGGATGCCGGACTCTCTGATTAATGCTTTCAGACGACTTTTACTTAGAGACATTTAAATTTATTTTTAACTTTTAAAATTGTAAAAGGTTTGTAACAAAAGAAAGAAAGAGTTTATTAAAAAGAGTACAAATTATTCCTAACAATTATTCAATATTTTCTGTTATTTGGAAATATACCAGCGTGAGAAAATAATCTAAAACCATAAACAGATGAAAAAAGGAACAATCTTTAAAAAAAAATAGAAAATGCTAAACTTTCTTTTCAAATGAATTAAGACATTACAAGTAATTTTGTGAAAGGTTTCTAATCATAATCCAGAAAAGAAATCATTGTTATACCAGTTAATGAAATGAGATAAAAAGATAAACTCTTTCTAAAAATCAACAGACAAATCAAAGTGGTTGTTGGTACAAAGTGTTTGAACCTACCCGCATCTTCTTTAATGAGCGTACAACGTACTTCATCCCGAATTAAGCCCGCTGTAATTTCACTTCACTACCAACTGTTTCTAACTCTAAGATATAATTTATTAAAATGAAATTTATCTCAGGTCCCATATCTCATTCATCAGAAACTATTTAAATTTTTAGACAAAGATGTCCTTTAGTCTGTTTTAATAAACTGCACTTGGAGGATGGCAGCTTGCCATTATGTTACGAATCTGTTTACTAAGATAATTCCAATTGGGATATCAATTTGATCTTCACTCTTTTAAATTGCCTGAAAATTGTAAAATTTTACGACTAACAAGAACCCTAATAAATAATTATTCATATTTAAATGTTTTAATATTCACAGGAAAGTATTGAATATACAAATATCTAGTAAATGTGGATTATAGTACAGAATGAGATCAAAAAATAAAACATGAAAATGTTACGGAATTATTGAATAAAGGGGTTTCTTATTATTATCTTATCTGTGAATTCTATTAGCCTTTTTTATATATTAACACATATTTACAGATTAGTTAACCACAACAATGCAATTAAGGCGTGCTAGAAAAAAACTCCTTACTTTAACTACCTTATAGCTCGTACGATGTCCACAGAAAACAAGAATAGTCATAGTTAATTAATTACTGTTTCAAGAAATGGTTAACATAGCAATAAATACACTTCCTTAAAAAATTTACTAAAAGAATTTACTAAAATAGAGAGAGACTATTAATTATTTTCTTTCTTACAAATACACTACTAGATGATATGATTTTATTAAAACAGTACAAAAGTGAGTAGATTTTACTAACAACAAGTCTGGTTTGTTTTATCCAATTGAGTTTATGGTCTATTGAGACAAATAGTATCTTTTGCACATTTTTCATATCGTATTATGTCATTCTCTAGTATTATTAGATCAATATTCATATATTCCAATTTACAGATACATTCATTTAGAGTTAGTAGATCCTGGTTAACTTTAATAACTGGTTCATTTATATCTGCTAACTTTGAGCTCATATAAATATTAAGATCGTTGGCGAACATTCCATGATAACGATTATTTGGAGATTGTGAGGTGCGGTCTGGTGTGACGTAGGTTTTAGAAAAACATCATTTTCTAAAACCTACGTCACATCAGACCGCATCCCACGATCTCCAAATAATCATTGGTTAACGGTCACTAAACACTACACATTTCTCCATGATAACATTTAGATATGGCACTGTTAATTTTATTGACATACAAAATGAACTGTGTAGCTGAGAGCTCCTTGTAGAACTCCATGGTTTATAGTTTCCCCAAGATGAAAATTCATTTTGAAATGTCTTTAGGTCGTCAGGCGATATGTTCGATTAGAAATATAGGATGAGAGAGAGAGAGAGAGAGAGAGAGAGAGAGTGAGAAAGAGAAAGAGTGTGAGAGAGAGAGGAAGGAATGGAGGCGATAAAGTCAGAAAAGAAACTGTGTGAAGTGAGAGAGAGGAAAGAAAGACAGAGATACCGAGAAATACATTGGCAGAATGAGAGAAAATACCAGAGAACAAGAAAACGGAATGAAGGAAAAAATACAGAGTGCAATAAAGTCAGAAAAGAAAGGGTGTAAGCTGAGAGAGTGGAAAGAGAAAGAGAGGGAGCGAAGCAGACAACGTATGAAAGGTACAGTCACAGAAAGTAACAAAAAGTAGAAATACCGAAATTAAGAAAACGAAAAAGGGATAATAAAAAACAGAAAGAAAGAGAGAGAGATACAGAAGGACGGAGTGAGTAGGAAAGTGGTATAGGGAGAGAGACAGTGGCAGAATGAGAGAAAGTACCAAAGAACAAGAAAATGGAATGGAAGGAAAACGCAGACTTCAATACAATCCGAAAAGAAAGTGTGTTATGTGAGAGAGAGAGAGAGAGAGATAGAGAGAGAGACACACAGAAAGAAAGAGAGAGACAGAGTAAGTAAGGATGTGGTACAAATGGGGAGAGAGAGAGAGAGAGATAGAGAGAGAGACACAGAAAGAAAGAGAGAGACAGAGTAAGTAAGGATGTGGTACAAATGGGGAGAGAGAGAGAGAGAGATAGAGAGAGAGACACAGAAAGAAAGAGAGAGACAGAGTAAGTAAGGATGTGGTACAAATGGGGAGAGAGAGAGAGAGAGATAGAGAGAGAGACACAGAAAGAAAGAGAGAGACAGAGTAAGTAAGGATGTGGTACAAATGGGGAGAGAGAGAGAGAGAGAGAGAGACGGAAAGATAGACAGAATGAGAGAAAGTACCAAATAACAAGAAAATATAATGGAGGGAAAAACACAGTCTCCAACAAAATCCGAAAAGAAAGTGTGTTATGTGAGAGAGAGGAAAGAGAAAGAGAGCTTGGGAGAGAACCAGAAAGAAAGAGAGACAGAGTAAGTAAGGATGTGGGACAAATGGGGGAAAGAGAGAGAGAGACGGAGAGATAGACAGAATGAGACAGTGGCAAAATGAGAGAAAGTACCAAAGAACAAGAAAATAAAATGGAGGGAAAAACAGTCTCCAACAAAATCCGAAAAGAAAGTATGTTATGTGAGAGAGAGGAAAGAAAGAAAGAGAGAGAGAGAGAGAGAGAGAGACAGAGTATGTAAGGATGTGGGATAAATAGAGAGAGCGAGAAAAAAAAGAAAGATCAAGAAGGAGAGAGCGAGATTTTTCATTGGATATTACCAGTACGGCGCTTTGCTATGCTAAACCTACACGACTCATCTGTCATGTATAGGTTAATCTATTCAAGGTCCTTCCTAAGAAGAACATCAACTTCCTTTGTGATCGTCCCCTAACTCCTGGTGATCACTTGATATATCATTGGACGCTCAGAGATGAAGCATCCTCACTGCGTTCAGTAGTTGTCGATTTATAGCAAGGGGAATTGCCTAATTTTGCCCAATTATTGAAAAAGGATTGGTGATTCTTCAGCAGTATTGCTTGACCTTAACTAATTCTCTTGGGAGATGGGTTAAAAAACAGTCCAAATAGCATGAAAAACAATAGGTTAATATATATTTATTATTTTTAATGATACTACAGTTATATCCTAATTTACCCTGTAATCCTCACTCTTCTTACCATGGGAACGGAGTACAAGATGTTCAAGAATGAATTGCTCACTAACGCGATCGAACTCAGTACGCCGTCGATACGGTTTTTAACCGTTTTATGAAATTTGTCCAAGCTGACACTCTTCTTCCCTGTATCAGAAGTCTTCGACATGTTGTAATATGTGTACATAAAACATGCCGGCGTACTCGAGACCGTATGAACCTTATGGAATGCGCCTGTGGTAAGCGGAACGTAATCACCTGTTCCAAGGGTAGCGTTCGTCTTGTTACTCTGTTCGACTATCACATCCCCTCTGAGCACCGTCAGCGAAACATTCGTCAGATCTTTGTGAATGTAATTTTCAAGTGTTAAACCTGCAATGGAACATAAATTAATCAATCCAAGTGTGCATGTGTTGGTGTGTTGGTGGGTGTGTTATGTGTTTTGTTGTTTCTTATATCTTCCTTTTTCTTCTATCACTACACCTTTCCCTCTCCCTCACTTCTCTCTCTCTCTCTCTCTCTCTCTCTCTCTCTCTCTCCTCTCTCTCTCTTGCGTTATTCATTATTCGCTGTGCATCCTTTTGCGCGATTAAACAAAATCGTCAATCAATCAATCAATCTCACTCTCTCTCTTTCTTCTTTCTCCCTCCCTCCATCTCCCTCTCTCTCACTTTCTCTCCTCACTCCCTCCCGCCCTTCTTCTCGCTATATATCCTTATCTCTCTGGCCCGCTATTTGTGAGTGTGTGTAAGTGTAAATAAACTTTCTTAAAGACATTAAATTCACTAATTTCGTGGTCCGCTTGACCAATTAATACATTACAGTTAATTAAGGTTTTTAGTTGAGACAAAAAGTCAATGGCACGAGCGTGATTCGAACTCACGATCTTCGGCATGATACGCCGCTGCTCTACCACTTGAGCTATCGTGACCTCGATCCACTCGGACACTAACTTCCCATCTCAACCCCACCTTTTGAATTTTCCCTCCTTTTTGCCATTTTTCAAATGTCGTGTAATCGGATTGGATTCTCGGCGACAAATGAAATGGCCACGGAGAGCTTTAGTGAAGAATACTCTTCATTTAAATTCATTAAATTCACTAATTTCGTGGTACGCTTGAGCTAAAAAAGTCAACTAAAAACCTTAATTAATTGAAATATATTAATTGGTCAAGCGGACCACGAAATTAGTGAATTTAATGAATTAAAATGAAGTATACTTCACTAAAGCTCTCCGTGGCCATTTCATTTGTCGCCGAGAATCCTATCCGATTACACGACATTTGAAAAATGGCCAAAAGGAGGGAAAATTCGAAAGGTGGGGTTGACATGGGAAGTTAGTGTCCGAGTGGATCGAGGTCACGATAACTCAAGTAGTAGAGCAGCGGCGTATCAAGCCGAAGATCGTGGGTTCGAATCCCGCTCGTGCCATTGACTTTTTTATCTCAACTAAAAACCTGAATTAATTGTTTCTTAAAGAAGTGGTGCAATGAAAGAGCGAAATGTGCAATAATTAATGGTAGGATAAACGTCTCCAGTCTATATCAACTTTAGATAGATTCAGTGGAATATTTCAAAGAAGTGCATTGTTATTAAAACTCAACGGAACAATAATGATGATATTAAAAAAAAGTTTAGAGCGTCCGAACGTAGGCATTTGCATTTTATCTTTCATTCTCCTTCTCATTCGCTCTCTTCTCTCTCTCTCTCTCTCTCTCTCTCTCTCTCACTCTCTCTCTCTCTCTCTCTCTCCCTCTCTCTCTTGCACGCTTGACCAAATTCGTTACCAACCATCCTGATCTCTCAAATCACACAGACCCAATTCTTAACATGGCGAAACAAAACGAAATATAGTCAGACCTGGTGAATAATCTTGTAGAGGTCTAATTATATTGAGATGTCCTAAAAATAACGCAGGTTTATCGTTATAAAACAAAAACAATTAAATAAATGAATTGAAACATTTTTTATTAATTAAAATACCCTCCATCACTCCCAATACACTTCTCCCTACGTGATGGCAACTTCTCTGAATACAATTTTGAGTTTTTATTATTAACAAATTCTGTAAACGTATTTTTTAACGACTTTTAAGCAATAAATTTTTTACGTTGTAAAACGTTGTCCAGGTGTCTGAATAAATGGTAGTCGGTAGACGAGACGTCTGGAGAATAGGGATGGGAGGCAGAACCTCATCACCAACTTTTCGTGTTGTCAGCTGTGTGGCATGCGGCCGAGCATATATAACAGAATCGGCCTTTTCCGATTGAACAAAGATGGCTTCAATAATTTCAATTTTTGGTGCATTTCTTCAATTTGAGAGAGACACCATTTTTTGATGAGTTGGGGGCTTTGGAAAATGTGGTGCTGCTTCCCATTTGTCGAGCCATAATCCAGAACGTCTGCTGTTATCGTAGAGAATCCATTTTTCGTCTCAAGTAACAATTCTATCCAGAAAAGATTCGTTTCTGTTTCCGCAAAGAAATGTTGCGCAAACTTGATAGCGACTTTTTGGCGATCTTGAGGAAACCAACTTTTGAGATTTTTCCCCTTTCCAATTGCCTTAAGGTGGTCAGGACTGCAAAATTCTCTGCATCTTATCGAACAGTTTTCTGGGATTTTCTTCGACAAATGATATCATAGAATATCATCATCTAGGGGAGAAATCCGTAGAATAAGTAATTTTTTTTTTTTTTTTGCTTTACCAGTCAGATCCCGCTAATCGGAAAGGAATGTGATTATTTTATTAATTCTTTATACCGGAATGTCACTTTTGCACGCCATCCCTACACTAGAATCCAGCAGATCCAAATTAGAAATTCTCTATAGAAGAGACATTTTTGTAGGCTGTGGCCCTCCTTGCTTGACCACCACTTCGAACAGTTTCCTTCTTCCTCGTGAAGTGGCGGCCATGTTAGAAAAGAGTGGTCGGTATCTGCTACGGTACTGTTATCACAATAGCAGATGTTATAGTCAGCTAAATTTCATACATAGATTTTTCATAAAATAGATTTTATGTATGTAGTATGGGAGCCCGTTATGATTAAATTTAAATGGAGTGTACATAATATACTGAAAACAGAAGTGGCCGGTTAATCCGGCTGAACCAAGACTTTAAGGATATCCTAGGTTGCACTTCTGCATATTATCGCCTTGCATTGGTTTTTTCCTGATCATATACTTGTTGACAACGGTTTTTAAAATATGTTTTACATGAGAGATAAAATGATTGTCGTAATATTTACCACATCTTATTACTTTATTACTTCGTCCTCTATTTGCCAGATCAATTTTTATATAGGGTACATTCGGATAAATGTTTTTTTTTTTTTTTGGGGGGGGTGAAACTTCATTGAAATGGAGTTGAATGCCGCCAGAACAGGTGTTCTATCTCTGTTTAATATGGAGTTATGATTGTTTTTGTGTTTTTCGAAAAAAAAATAGGTCCTTATGCCGTTAAAACGCGTTTTCCCAACTTTTACCTAATTTATTCGTAGATAGAACTCCTTTTTGGGAAAGAGCGATAAATTTCCTGTAGTACTGCACCATTTTCTTTTCTTGACGACTCAATTAAATGTCATTTTTAATAGAAGAAATGTAAATTTAGCATAAATCCGGGATTTTCAGAGGAATTCAAAAATTTTCTTCTATTTTAATAATTTTAGAATCGGTGAAATCACACAAAACTTTCTTTATTTAATAATTTTTCTAACGACGTATGCATTACTGTGATTGATACTTCTTTGAGAGGAGAAATCATACTTCAATGGTGAGATAACGTGGTCTCGGTTGAAGGAAGGAGTGGAAGTAGTTTATCATATTCGTTTTCCTTTTCTTTCTTTTTATTCTCATTTAAAAAAAATAAACAAAACAATAATGTATTCAGGATAAAATTTATCTTGAACTGTTGTGGGAAGGGTGGAGAAGTCTAAACCGTTCCCTGTGTGGATAGAGCGAGGTGGTATCATTCCATGTCCACCGAGATCCGCAGATCTCAATCCTTGGACCTCTTCGTTTGAGGTATTCTCAAACAAGAAGTCTGCAGGATACAGGTCAACAGCAAAGAAGAGTTAAAGAGAAGAATAATTGCTGCAGCACAAAAACTTAAGGTGGCCATTCACGATCGCTCCTAGCAGTCCAAACGGAGCGACGCCGTTCCAAAAACCACGTCAATGGCAAAGCTGAACTGGCGTGCCCGGCTGTGCCGAATATTCGACCGGTCCAAACCCATCGCGCCACTCCAAACATCTATGGCGCGATGACGGCATGGCCCGTTCGTGAATGGGAAAACCTGGCGTGGATGGTGGGCATTTTGGCGCGCTGGCCTGGTCGTGAATGGGAAAACCCTCGTTTTTTTGGCGCAGTCTCTGTCTTTCTGTCACTGAGCAAACATCTCCGTCGTACATTCTCAAAAAGTCAAAAACGTTTATTCTTTATTGGTAATGACGTCCATTCGAAATTTTATTGTTGAGGTGATTGAATTGTATGAAAGTTTACCATGTGTATGGAAAGTGGAGGACAATGATTACCACGATAGAAATAAAAGAAATTCGATCCTCAACCAGTGGTCGACGTTTTCAAAATGATGGATACAAATGCAGTGAGAGATGGAGTATTGATAACCCCCTAGCAATGATCAGAAATTGTAGTAGAGAATTTAAGTTCTTTGTAGTTCATTCCTGTAGCGAGAAATCGTAATGTGGTTGCCAACCTTTCATGTAGTGATGATTTGTCTCATGATTGTCTTTTGTTTTCTAATCAAGGGGGTAACAAGCTGGAGTAAATATAAATAAGACGTTAATCTTTTTTTTGTAAGGTTTTGGTTGAAATGAAAAAATAGTGTCACGAGGGGATTCGAATCCACGACATTCGGCTACGCTGCTGCGCTAACCACTTGAGCTATCCTGACTTCGATAGTTCGATCCACTCGGGCACCAACTCCCCATCTCAACCTACAACTTTTCGAATTTTCTCTCTTTTTGCCAATTTTTGGTGCCGGAGAGGATCGAAGTCACGATAGCTCAAGTGGTAGAGCAGCGGCGTATTTAGCCGAAGGCCATGGATTCAGATCCCGCTCGTGGCACTAGCTTTTTCATTTCAATTAAAACCTTATAAAAAAGAGTAAATAATTGAAAGAAGTAATTTGGTCAATAGAACACTAAATATAATGAATAAATAAGACGTTTCATCCATCCTTAAATAGTTCCTCCAATCAGCGGGTTCAAGGGAAAGATCTTTCATCAAATTGATGTGGGTATTACGGCTTCTGTTCAGGAGCCACTTCTTACACCATTTCCTCTTCGATTTTTTGCTTTTAATATGTAAATAAACAGAAGAGTAGCACAAGAGATCGTCATCCATTTTGAGAAGGTAATTCACTGGTTGACATTCGGAGCGACTGGCAGTGGAGCGGTCGTGAATGCCCCGTCCAATTTCAGGCACTCCAAATGGAGCTGTACGGCTTGACGCGGTTCCATTTGGAGTAATCGTGAATGGCCACCTTTAGGAAGAAGTTAAATCATCCAGTTACTGTGGGAGCTTTCTGAAACGACCAAGGTTGTGCGTCAGGATCAGGGGAAGACAGTTCAAAACAAATTTTATCCTGAATCCGTTATAGTTTTGTTTATTTTTTTCTAAAATGAGAATGAAAAGAAAGAAAACGAAAGCGAACATGATAAACTACTTCCACTTCTTCCATCAACCGAAACCACGTTTTCTCACCACTGAAGTTTGATTTCTCCTCTCAAAGAAGTATCAATCACAGTAATGAATACATGGTTAGAAAGATTAATAAATGAAGAAATTTTTGTGTGATTCGACAGTTTCTAAGATTATTAAAAGAGAGGCAATTTTTTAAATTCCTCTGAGAATTCCGGATTTCTGATCAATTTTACATTTTCTATATTAAAAATGGCATTTAATCTCGTCGAAATGAAAATTATGTTGTCCTATAGGAATTTATCTCTCTTTCCGATAAAGGAGTTAAAACTGCGAATAAATTAGATAAAGGTGGGAAAACGCGATTTAACGGCATAAGGTTCGATTTTTTTCGAAAAACACAAGAAAATCATATCTCCGTAGGACACCCGCTCTGGCGGCATTCTACTCCATTTTCGATTAAGTTTCATTAAAAAAAAATTTCAACCTGTAATGATCCGATTGTCACACTGTCTCTTAACCTATGAAAAGTACACATCCGCTCCCTTTTCCCTAATCATTAATGCATCATGGCGGATGTCGTGTATGATAGGGGTTCTAGAGTGTTTATTGGATTTAAGGGACTTAAGAGCACTTTGGCTGTCAGATATGATTACTACGTCCTTATCAGTGAAACCGTGAACATATCGCAAAGCGAATTGCCATGGTTTCAGCTGTAAATATTGACCACAAGTTAGGCGGTTTCAAAAGCTTAGAATAATTATTAACCACACCTAAAAACACCCCTTCGACACTATCATTAGATTTTGATCCATCTACATAAATCACTATGACTTCACACACCTCGATCACACATTTCACATTTTACGGGCTATTCACAGAATCTTCCACTGACCCAACGACATTGAGGACATTTAATTCGTTTTTAAGATCTCTTTCTTCCGAGGTTAAGAAAGGTTCTAGGGTTGACTCTACTGAATGGCTTATTACTCCTCACTTGACATCCGAGTTTACAGGTAAGATAATCAAGCCTTTTCGAAATTTTTAAACCAACTCTGAACGGTGCTCTCACTCACACTGCCATCACCTCAGATTTCATTAATGTTCCTTGTCATTTAGGCACAGTTCCTACTGAGTTTATACTCATAAAACGAAATTAAGGGAAAATCAACAGACAACAAAGTAAAGACTGAATTATTCCTAAATAACGAAACGCTGCTGTAGAAAACAAACATTTTTGTTTGGAAGAGGATTAAAAAGTGTTGTCACTCATAGAAAAGTCTACTCCATCAAACTTAAACAGTGTATTTTACAGGGTGTTACAGGGTTAGCTGACTATACTGCCATAGTGGATTCACTAAATAAAACGGTTAAGTGCCACCAGAATGAGGTTTCTATCTTGACTCTTTCCTGAGATATTAACATTTTAGTCTAAAAACAGGGTGTGTTTTTTTTACATAAAATCGTAATTTCACAACTTTAGCGCCATTAACATACAAATCTGACCTTTATTTCCTTCGATTTTCCACGAGATACCAACATTTCCTTTGAAGAATTCGTGTTTCTGAATACACAATAGCCGCTCAAAAAATAACAAATGGCAGAAAATGTTTTTGGAAATAGTCAATTGTAAATCTTTTTAAAAAGATTTAACAACACACTCACTCCACAATTTATCATTTCTGTACTTTTTCATCAAAATTTTCCGGATTTCACCAAAGTTGCCTTATTTTATATGTATTTTAAGAACATACTTTTACATTTATTAGAACTTTTATTAGTGAAATATCCTTTGCAAGGTTGAAAAACGTGATGTCGAACCCAAGGAGAGCAGCAACCTCAAGAACATGGTACACGTCATATTTTTAATGAAAACATTTATTAGTTGGTAACAAAAATCATATCCATTCTTTTAATGATGTGTATATAATTGAAGAAAAATTACAATGAAAATTAAGCTTAATTAATTTATGAATTTTTTTGCAAATTTACTGATGTATTGTTCTAAATGCTTTCCTTCGTATTGGATGTACAAATGATAGAGCAACCGATATGACTACATGGAAGACTTCTTCCCTACATTCCCTCATTTCATAGCACGTGATTTCAATTTTCTCTATGGGTTTTCTTGTATCCCTTGTATACGGGGTATGATGTACACTGTCCCTGTATCCCAAAAATCCACTATCCCAAAAGTCTAATGGGGTCAAATTCTAATAGGCTCTTCGCTGGCCACGAGAAGAATGTTCTAATTCTTGTATTGCTCTCTTGGGTTCGATATCACGTTTCCAGCCTTGCAAAGTGATTTCACTAAGTAAGAAAAGTTCTAAAAAATTGTGAAAGTGAGATAAGGCAACATTGGTGAAATCCCCCAAAATTTTGATGGAAAAGTTATTGCACGAGCCATAATTGAGTATTTTCAAAAAAAACATAGGTTCTGCCATTACTTATTCTTTGAGCAACTACTGTGTATTCGGAAGCGGGAATTTTTCAACGAAAATGTTGTTACCTTGTGAAAAATTGAATGTAGTTTGCGAAATAAAGGTCAGATTTGAATTTTAATGATGCTAAATTGAGAAATTACGATTTTATTTTTAAAAAATCTGATTTTAGACTAAAATCACAAAAATGTTAATACCTCAAGAAAGGGTCCAAATATAAGCCTCGTTCTGGTGGCACTGAACTAAGTTTTATTTATTGAATTCGTTAGTTTTCGTGGTCCACTTGACCAATTCATATCTTTCAATTAATTAAGGTTTTTAGATGAGATAAAAAAGTCAGTGTCACGAGCTGGATTCGAACCCACGACCTTCGGCTAAATACGCCGCTGCTCTACCACTTGAGCTATCGTGACTTCGATCCACTCGGACACTAACTTCCCATCCCAACCGCAAGGAGGGAAAATTCAAAAGATGGCGTCAAGCGGACCACGAAACCTAATGGCAAAAAGAAGGGAAAATTCAAAAGGTGGGGTTGAGATGGGAAGTTAGTGTCCGAGTGGATCGAAGTCATGATAGCTCAAGTGGGAGAGCAGCGGCGTAATAAGCCGAAGGTCGTGGGTTCGAATCCCGCTCGTGACACTGACTTTTTTCCCAACTAAAAACCTTAATTAATTGAAAGATATTAATTGGTCAAGCGTTACAAAATCGTAATTTCTCAACTTAGCATCATTAATTCAAATCTGACCTTTATTTCGCTCAACTAAAAACCTTAATTCAATTGAATTAACCATGACAGTACTAATAGTTAACCGTGTAACACCCTGTATAGAAGTGTAATTGAAAGAATACATGAAACCCTGCATTATTTTCCGGACAACCCAATACAAACCAGCTTGTTTATGAAATAATTTATATATTTAATCATTTTACTATTAAAAACCAAAGAAAAAAAAAACTGAAAGAAAACAATAACTTCCTTTGTTCGGCTTTTTCAGGAATATATAATTATCACCTTCATCTGGGCTCTGAAACTTTTATCATTTTTACAAAACTAACAAAATGTATACTTAACTAAGCTAAATATAAGAACTGAACACTATTTGAAATACTAAAACCTATGGTTTTAAGCATAATTAAATGGTCAATGAATGAGATCAAACACACTATTCATATCAGAAATATAGGCTCCATATGAAGATCAGACAAGTGTATCCATCAAAAGCACATGGAAGGAAATGAAATATGTTTTAGGGTATAGACTCGAATAAATTTTCATTGTATTTATACAAAATGTGTGAGAAGGCACTTTCTTACCAGGGAAATCAGCGAAAAATAGAGCATCCGAGTAATTTGACCAAGACCGGACGTGCTTCTCTATCTCCGTTATGGCGTATCTCCAATTCGACAGATCAGTCAGAAGTGGCATAAGCCATGATATCGGTTTTGTAGGCGACCATTCCGCTTTGAGTAGGTCCACTCCGGGATCAAACATCCTCTGTTGAAATCTCTTATTGAGTGAGGTCCAAACGTCTATATCAAAATTCAAAATAATATATCTATTTTTTTTTTAAATATTAATTAGAAATTACCGATATAAAGAGATATATTTTGAACTCTACTCTTTGATTTTTGAATATTTCTCTGAACACATTTTGAATACTGAATGACCATATCACCATGTTTTTGCCAGCGATCATTTTGAACCCAAGCCTTTAAAAATATATATTATTTGTACAAATGAACTGTTATAAAAATTAAATTAGTTTCAATAAGTACTTCTGGATCTAAAAACATTTCTTCACCGGAATCATTGTCCACCACTTTTATCATAACCAACACCGGATCCCAGGTGTGGACCATCATATCCCAAGAGTACCCGTACAATCCATTCGTCCAGTTGTTATAACCCTAATTGAAAAATCTTATAGAAAAATTATTAAATTAATATTTATGTTATTTTTCACCTGTGTGATGAAATGAGAATAAGGGAGAAACAACTGTATCAATACATGAACACAAATTGAAGCGCCTACCAAATGTTTTCTCCAGTTGTGGTTAATCGCCTTGAAATTTGTACCACCTGAAATGTGTAAATTTAATTATTCTATTTTATCCAATTAAGATCGCAATCAATTAAAGAGAATAATATTATACTTAAATTATTTATTTTTAAGGTTATTCTATCACAATATAAATTGTAATTGGTTATATTTTATTGAGAATTTATGTTAATGTTTATGCATATTTTAAATTATAGTTCAAGTTAATAAATAAATGCTGTAATTATAATAAATATTCAGTAATAAATGGCCATTAATATCTAAAGGGCAAATAAATGAGAGGAATGTTGAGTACTCCACTACCTTTCTAGTGTGAATGGTATGTACATAGGGCAGAATGTATTTAAAAACCAGTGAAATTTATTAATACTTAATTTTAAAAGCTGCATGGAGATGAAATGATCTAGTGTTGAAAGCCCCTAGAGCCTATCTTCGCTAGCACATAGGGTAAATCACTTAGGGCTTGAGAAGTCATAAGTTCAATTCTGAACAGATGTGTATGTGTATGTTGAGCTTATACAAATCAATCAATATATATAACAATAACTTTATTTATGTCACCAAACTGAATTGTTTATAATTTTATTTATAATTTGACTATTATGGGTCAGTTTTGGCAACCTATTCTTGCTGTTTGTTTTTTTATTTTTTATTTTTATTTATTTATTTTATTTATTTATTTTTTTGGTACTAATTCTCTATCATAAACTTCAACTATAGACTGACCAAAATTATTGCTAATATTGCCAAATGCAAGTTCGATAACTGGCTAAACAAGAAGAATCCTCACTAGGTTCAGCATGGCCCTTTTCGATTGGCTAGTGGTTCATTTGGGAGATTATTTTAAGGGACATAAGTTGGGTGAGGCATTTACTAATAGAATGGGTAATGAGTAAATACAAACCTCACAGACCACCTAGACAAATTTCATAATTTATAAAAATAATTACTTTTATTTTTATTAGGCTCAATATAATAGCAGTTGTCATTTTTTTCCGTTTGAAGTTTAATGCAAGCTAATGGGTATTTCAACTTGGCAATTAAACTTTTTGGCCAGTTGAAACTGCAAAATAATGGCATTGTGACAAGGCAGACATATGGAAACATCCCTGAAACACATAAATATTAAGTTTATTTTAAGTAATTAATCCATTTAAAGAAAATACCTATATGAAACATTTGAGAATTCATCAAGTGAAAGCTTGCCAGGAATAGGAAAGCGATTGGTCGTGTCGAGTCAAAATAGATCCAAAAACCGACAGTAAGGTCGAGTAGAAACCCAGTTATATGTATTATCCACAAGTCAATTTCATGTGACGTGAGAAACGCCCTAAAATTTAAAACTCAGGCATGTTTGATTGAAAAGAAAATTTCTTCTTTTTACCTAAATGGATCAAAGACCCAATGTGTGGACAGCGATGACATAGAATGACCGGCGAGCCAGTCAAAATCTAATTTTTTCAACCCTGCATAAAAATAAAGTAGGAATAACTGAAACCTCAAAATTCCATAGTTCCAAAGAGGCACATCTTTATTATGCTTTACTCTTCCGATGAGTGAATCCACTGACCTGAAGAATTTCTGTCAATGCAAATTATATTCACATAAATTTAAAACTCTTACCAGTAATTATTAGCATCGGAAAAAATGAACATAATTGACAAAAGTCCATATAAATATGAGTGATTATTCCATGCAGTTTTGTCCAACAAGAAAATATACCAGTAAGGAATTGAAAAAGCTAAGCAGGAGAACTTAAAAAATGCACCCAGCATAATACCCACAGCACCTGGAAATGCAAACATCAGATTTAATAAATAAACAAATCTATTTTGACTTACCAAGCCACATAATCAAATAAACGATGCACATCCATTCCAATGGTAAAGGTGTTAGAAAATCGAACAAAGGAAACCTACATTCATCTTGATTACCCCAGCGTAAATCAGCTTCGCTAAGTCCTCTCTCATCCGGTATATCAAGCACCATTAAAGCACCTTGAACAACACTTACACAATATATGTCTTAATCTAACTGATTCAACATACCGAACAATATCCTTGAAACTGCTATCGAACTAGGATCAACCGGTTTGAAAAGAAGCAGGACAAAAGAATTCCAGTCGAGCAGATGTCTGACTGGAAAGCCTAGGATGTTCTCGATGTAAGATTTCGACTGCTGCCTCACCTTTTTCGAAGAGTGTGCCATGATTTAACACTGCAGAACAAAACTAAAATCAGTCTGTTACTTACATAAAAAATACTAAAAAAATGCATATGTTTGATTATAAGCTGGGTTTTTTTAAGGCACCCTTGCTGGCTAGATAAATTGATTAATATAACCCACAAAATCTAATATATTTATAGATAATTAAATTCTTTTTAAATATTTATTTTACAAGTAATGAATTGAAAAAATAAAATTTATTCTGGGCGTTAAACTCACGGTGAATAACCAATTAAGAGCACAATAGCATATTTACACAAGAATGACAAAAATGTCTATTAACAAAAATATTAATGGAAAAAAATTAAAAAGGAAAAATTATGAATCCTCAATGCCAAATTGTGAGGGCAAGAAAATGGTTTTTTATCCCAGAGTATGGTCGGGAAATTGGCTGAGGTACATTTTCTCATTCATTTTGTATCTAGCCTATATGAATATTTGGTTAATCTACAAACAGGATACTAAAATGAGCAAAGTAGGTTAATTTTTTAAAAATTATTTTTTATTTATTTAAAAAGAACATTTTTTAAAGCGGGACACGTTTTTTATTTGCCTAACCTTTTGGCATTAGCCATATACCTATTTACAAACAAAGTTGATATTCGTTTTTTGCACCCCTCAAAACAATTTTGTATCTGGCCTATATGAAAATCTGGTTAATCTACAAATAGGGTACTAAAATGAGCAAAGTAGGTTAATTTTTTTAAATTCTTTTTTATTTATTTAAAAAGAACATTTTTTTAAAGCGACAAACAAAGTTTTTTTTCCTAACCTCTTGGCATTAGCCATATACCTATTTACAAACAAAGTTGATATTCGTTTTTTGCACTCCTCAAAACCCCCAAATACAAATTTTGGGGAAAATCAAACAATACTTTTTTCTCACAATTTTCATCTTCCCAATGCCCCCTATTTTTTTAATTAATCTATTTTTTATTTAATAATGTTTATTTATTTATTTTTTGTCGAAAATCGAACGTACAATTTGGATAGAGATCAGAGTAGTTGTGAAATTTTAAGTGAGTGAATGAAGTTTCCAAGTGTAAATTGGAGAAAAATTGTTCCTGGCGAATCCAGCTTAAAAATTTATCTTTTGTTTGCCATAAAAATTCGTACTTAATGGTTATATTGAGTGCTTAAAACGAATCGGGATTGGGTTTTCAAAAGTATATTTTTTTAACCTCCTTACTGAAAGCACCTTTTGAATTTGTAAGTTTTTATAGGTTTATTCTCATTTAATACTATCTTATATTTTATTTTCTTATCTTATATAAAAAAATAAATCAGTTGATATATAATTTTGAAATATATGCACAACTAAAGCAGATATACAAATGTAAAAAATTATTGGAGTAACATAAAACAATTTTTCTCGACCTAGTATCACCAAAAAAAAATTATTAAATTCCGACGAGATATAACCACAAAACATTTTGATGAATTTTGACTCATTATACAATGGTACTATGGCAGTATACTTCCTGAATAAATTACATCTACAGGTTATTTAAATAAAAGAGAAGTGTTTTTATATTTGCTGAAAAGGACAGGTAAGTCCGCGTAAAGCATGGTGTGGACAGTGAAAAAGGTGTAGATCTTACGATATCTCGTTATTTTTGGATGTATTGTTTGTTTAAGGGCTCGAATTGCACTCAAAAGTCCCTACTGTCAAGATTTTTTTTTCTAAAAACGTTAATAAGTCAGCGAAGCCCTAGATCATTCAGGATTTGCAGATTTAACACAATTGATGCTTTATTACCAACCTTTTATTATTTGACTTTTTTAAAGAATAAGGTAAAATAATTTTGTGAGGAAAAATAAAAAATAAATATTTTCAAGTTATTTACTTTACGAAACATATTAAGCCGACACACAAATAGCACTTCGTGATTCAAATGCCGGTAAAATAATATTGGAAGACAAATGGTCATTTCTATTGAACACCTATTTCATGCATTCTCCAATGGGTCAGTTTTTTTAAAAATTCACATTGCCATTTTATAAAATATTGTGAAACAGATTTAAATGTGTTTTATTTTTCGAAATATTTATAATCGGTCTTTGGTAAACAGCTGTCAGCCTGGTCCTGATTGCTTAAGGCGATGGCGGGACACAATGACGGTGGTTTTCAATATAGATTTCTCAAATTATATTACTCACGTGTTCATGGACCTCCTGGCTCCTACATCTGCGTCGTGGACTCCACAAACGAGTGGAAATGATGCGAAGAGACGTCTCTCTCCTCCCCATGGTAACAACCGACCCTTAGCCCTTCGGCCATCGATCGATAGACACCTCCGTGGCTGCGTACCGCCACTTTTCAACGACCAACGCTTAATTTAACGTTAATCGGGATGTTCGATTAAATGTCAAAAGAATGTTCATTGAAGGTATATATTATGATAAACTGGTGTGTGTGTGTGTTTGCACTGGGGGACTCTTAACACGACACCCAAAAATGACACAACTACGCAGAAAACAAACACTTTGAGCCCTGAAGATGATCTCAATAAAGATCGAAACGTTGGCACGATAAAGAAAATGTTTTTCTAAAACCTACGTCACACCAGACCGCATCTCACGATCTCCAAATAATCATTATGATAAAGGGTAAATTCAAACCGATGGCAAATGTTTAACCTTATGGATCAATTGAACGGAGAAAAATCATGTTCAAAGATGGGAGAAAGGAGCTCAGAAAAATCAATCTACAAATTAAGAAGCAACTTATTTAACCTGTTTAATGAATATAGATATGAAGAGTCAGAGAGAAAAAGAAAGAAAGAGATTAACTCTTGTCCCTTACTTGTACCGTTTAATTATCCATGTTGTTAAATTTACATAAATTTAAACATGTAAACTTAAACGTATCGGTTTATGATGACGGAATAAAAATTGCCTGTGTTGTTTAGTATAATGTGTTAAGATAGTGAAAAATTACGATCCTTGCTCTTCTACCAATAACCATCTGTCAGTCCCTCATTTTTCTACCATCGTTGTTTTTATTTACCGAGACCGACTCTGATAAGTCCCGCGGAATCCCATGACCTTAAGAAAAAGCATTGGTATATATTTTAAATCGCGACTTCTCCACCTCGGGATTTATGAATGGGGCCGGTGATCGAAGCCAGCTGGCAAGCCGATGGACAAGCCGAATTATATTTAAAACTTTTCCTTCCGTCTAGGCTACAGGCTCGCGGTTGAACGTATGAAAAATCAAGGATTCACCTATCACCATGATTTTCAATGAGGACTGTACGTCATTTTGTTTTATTCAGCCAACAAGGATAAAAGCTTTCCGTTGATAGAGCGCAGGGTCGCAAGACAAACTCGTAAATTATTGTTTAATAAATCTTAAAAACTCTGGTTATTATCAATTTTACATTGCCTTTATCTACCTAAAATTTAATTTGTAAAGTTGAATCCAAAAAAGCACTATATTGGTCAGATAAAACAACCATTATGCAGGCAGACCAGTATCATGCTGATTGCAAAAATAGAAGTACTGAAGGTACGTGGTTATCAATGCTTAACAAAGATCGAGACCATTTATTCAATTGGATAGTCCTAAAATATTGGCTAGAAAGAGATTGGATATGAGATAATCGGGAAGGATGTAGATATCGATCAGCAGTTCTCAAGTTTGTATGTGAATCAGAGATGTGGTCAAATACAAGAAACAGTTTTAGGCTTGCCAAGACTTCGGCGTTTGTTTTCAACTTGTTTTTGTTCCTTTGTGCACAAACTATTGTATGTCATTGGTACAAGTACCACAGTTTCTAGACTGTAAAAGAACAGGAGAAGGTTAAAAGGCATGATTTATGTCACTTCACTGGGTGGCAGCAGTAGAAGAGCCATAATACAATGCTAAGCCACAAACCAAGCCTTTTCTTGAATAATAGTGACTTCCAATGTCAAATGATTAATGCATGACATCTGACATTGATAAGGTATGTGGTTAATTTTAGACAAAAATACACGCCAACACAAAATTTTCAGTAAAAAAAATTAATGGTGACTATAGTGGTTTGGAATCATTTACTACCGTTTTTAGCCAAAGATGGAATGACCTTTATAACCTACATTGCAATTGAGCAAATCCACCAAAAACTCAACCTCAATTTTTAAATCGGTTCTAACCAAGTCACACCTAATCTTTTTTGGAAAATGTTAAAACAGCTGTGCTACGAAATTCTTTCACACTCATGTTTCTAACAAATTTTCTCTTGTTTTATGAATTGCACAACTTAAATTAAGAAAATATACTTTTAAATTCAGATAATTATATTCATAAAAGATTTTTCTAGGTACGTATGTCCTCAAAACCGCGAACATTTCTGTTCTGGAATTAAAAAACAGTTACAAGTTGGAAAAGTATGTAGAATGAAACAAATAAAGTGTGATAATTGAAAATAGTTAAACTTGTAAATTAAAGTAAAAAAATTAAAGTCATACTGGAGTACTTAATGTACAAATTACACGTTAGGTATCGCGGATTTGGGTTCAAACTAAAAATAAAATAAAATTCCTTGTAATCTGCCGGGATTCGAACTCAGGACCACTAGCGTGGTAAATACGAGTCGGACGCCTTAACCACTCGGCCATCTAGATTAAAAGGACATAGGTTATATAGTCTTCTTTGGTCTATTTCTGATAGCTTTTCTTTATTTTCTCAGAAATATTGCATCAGATTTTTTTTACAAGCATATAACAACATATATAATGTTTAATTATACAAATTTGTTATGTACTGATGAATATATAATAAAATAGAACTATCTTACTTTCACGAATCCTGGCGGGACAATCGTACACTTCGAGTACACCGCTGGACCAACAGATGGTAGGGCATGTCCGGAATTTTAAGTCTTGCTTTCTACTGATTATTTAGAAATCGTGAGATGCGGTCTGGTGTGATATAGGTTTAGAAAAACATTGTCTTTATCGTGTTAACGTTTCGATCTTTATTGAGCCCTGAAGATGATATCAAT